AGAAACGGCATAATTCATTTTCAAAAACGTCTCTATCACTTTCACTTCTCACTCGCCACAAAGCTCTTGTCTCGCTCCCTCCCACATTTGTTGGTCGCATCCAATTTCACCTTTCTCGCCACAATGCTGACCTGTTACAGCCAGTGGTCACATCCAATTTTTCAGTTTCAAAGTACTTAACTATCTGCTGCCATCTACTGATTTGAAAAAGTATTACATGGTTACTCCACAGTTCAAAACAAGTCACCGCTCGTCAACAGCGAATGCAGTTATTTTTAGACAAAGTAGACGAATTTCTCACGGCACACCAGACAATATCATACGGCACACTAGTGTGCCGCGGCACAGTGGTTGAAAAACACTGCTCAAGAGGATGAGATAATTCTCACACTAGAACCAGTGCTGGAGAATGAAGATGGCTCTTCTGTTTGCTCGCTCACCACTGACGCAGTCAGTGACTGCAGTAGCCCATCTCCAGTAGACCAGTCAGTCCAGCAGCCAACCACCATCCTCCACACACCCCAATCATCCTCTCACAAACCTACACCTCAAAAAAGAAAGAGGCCTGCTGACAGCTTTGAAACAGCAATCCTCAACAGGGTTGATGAAATCCAAGCCCAGCTAAAGGAGCCTGATGAGGATGAACTCTATCTACAAAGCCTTTTGCCATCACTGAAGCGCCTGACAGGAGCCAAGAAATCGATGGCCAAGATGGAGATAATGAAAGTGCTCCACAAATTAGAATATGGAGAGGAGTGATATTTTTGTGTTGTCCGATTTTGTATTTATTTTCATAACAGTTTTGCACAGTTGAATGTTTGTTCTTTCCTAATGCAGAGGATTGCTGTGTTATTTATTTTATAACAGTTTTGCACAGTTGGCCTGTAAATGTTTCTTTCCTAATGCAGAGGATTGTTCCATGTTATTTATTTTAAGTTAAGTAAATAAGCTATATTGTTTGTACCTTTTTGTGGTTCATATCAAGGGCAATGTAAATGTGAATAAAAAATGCATTGCCAACCTATGCGTCATACATTCTGGACATTACCAATCACTCTTTTATAAACACATAGAATAGATGTATGTAATTGGTAATAGAAAAACATGATGGTTATTATTACATGATTACTCTTTTTACATTGGTGATTTTATTAGGCTACATGATTACATTACATTCTTATTTCTTATATCTTACATGATTATTTTTTATTGTTATTAGATGATTTTTTTTGTTATCATTAATAATGCATGATTATTATTTCACATTATATTGACTTACCTTAGACAGATAGCCAGCCGTTCTTCAGGGCTTATAGGCTCCCTCATGTTTGTGTGGATCTTCTCTATCTTTGGCGTTACCATGGTGAGAAGGTGGGAAAACAGCTCTGGACTGAGCCGAAAGTAGGCACGGAACTGATCCGGATCAGTTTTAAGGTCCCTCACTAAGTGATGGTATTCTCTGTGTATTTGTCTCGTCTGCAATATCGGATGGACCCATTCACGTCTTCTCCGCTTCTTGTAGAGCAAATTCAGGAGTAATATTTCACACAGCTCTAACAGAATCTTTTTACGATCCATAATTGCCGCCGGACCCATTTTGACCCTTGCACTGTGTTTATATACCCCAACGTTTCCTCTCTGACAGCCAATCAAAACCACGGAAGACCCACGCGTCGCCCTGGAGTGCAGCGCATTGCCGGTGCCGCTTGCCGCATCGCGCCCCGTCTGTCATGTTATCTGAGCGACAGCGTTGAGTTTCGCTGATCGCTCTCATTTGTCGCCTCCCGTGTGTCGAGCCCTTAAGTCGATCATCGACCTCCGGCCTAGGGTGTCCTGGTGCCACGTGCACTGATGGACACCCTTGTGCTCGAACATGGTGTTCGTGATGGACAGGCCGTGACTGGCACAGAAGTCCAACAACTGAACACCGCTCGGGTTCAGATCAGGGGGGCCGTTCTTCGCGATCACCCCTCTCCAAGTGTCACTGGCATTTCCCACATGGGCGTTGAAGTCCCCCAGGAGAATAACGGAGTCCCCGGGCGGTGCACTGTCCAGTACCCCTCCCAAGGACTCCAAGAAGGCCGGGTACTCTGCACTACCGTTAGGCCCGTAGGCCGTCACAACAGTGAGAGACTTGTCCCCCACCCGGAGGCGGAGGGACGCGACCCTCTCATTCACCGGGGAGAACTCCAACACGTGGCGGCTGAGATGGGGGGCAATGAGTATGGCCACCCCAGCTCGCCGCCTCTCCCCGCGGGAAACACCAGAAAAGTGGAGCGTCCAACCCCTCTCAAGGAGTTGGGTTCCAGAGCCCAAGCTGTGTGTGGAGGTGAGGCCGACTATCTCTAGTCGGTATCGCTCAACCTCCCCCACAAGCTCGGGCTCCTTCCCCCCCAGTGAGGTGACGTTCCACGTCCCAAGAGCCAGATGTTGGGTGTGTGGACTGGGTCGTCGAGGTCTCCGCCTTTGACTGCTACCCAGTCCTCGCTGCACCTCGCCACCACGGACCCCTCTGCAGGTGGTGGGCCCACAGGAGGGACTGCCCACGTCATCCCTTCGGGCTGAGCCCGGCCGGGCCCCGTGGGCTAAGGCCCGGCCACCAGGCGCTCGCTTGCGAGCCCCGACCCCAGGCCTGGCTCCAAGGTGGGGCCCCGGCTGCGCCATGCCAGGCGACGTCACCGTTCTAATATAAGTGCTGTCCATGGTTGGCTTCGGACTGCGCTTCGTCTGACTCGTCACTTGAGACCTGTCTGCCATGGGAGACCCTACCAGGGGCATGAAGCCCCAGACAGCATAGCTCCCAGGATCATCCGAGTGCTCAAACTCCCCCACCACGTTAAGGTGGCAGTCCAAGGGGGAGAAATGTAAAGTTATAATAAATGTAAATACCTTATAATAAATCTATTGAAAAACAATTTGCTTAAAATATGTTGGTGGAATTTCTTATAATTCCATTGGTTGGAATGGAGCCAAAATGACGGCTATGGTAGTTTTTGTAGTTTTAGAATGAACAACAGTCAAGTTTTATTTTCTTCATCCTTTGAACCCAAAATCAAGATTTATATCATTCATAATTCTCTTGCCTGTAGAATCGTGAGCCCAGTGCGTGTTTAGCTGTCTGTACCATTAGTACGCGAATGCATGCGCTTGCGTTTTGAAATGTGTGCGTGTATGCATTTATGAGCGCATGCATGTTAGTCACCACGCAGTGCACGGTGTCATTTCAGACTTTGGTAAATCTCAGAAAACACCATGTATATAATAAAACAATGCATGCATCTAAGAAATCACTGTTAATAAATGTGCCTGAATATTTTGGCGTATAACCCGGTCCTTCCCGTGGAACATAATCAACAGGAAACTATCCAGGTGTACCCGGAAGTATGAGCTCCGTCATTTTTCTCAACTGAAGATACGTCCCACGCACGCGGTAAGCACGATGTATTTTCATATCCAGAGTTAAATGTTACTGTAAAATCGGAATACGCTTTTCCACCATGCTTTTATGTTGTTAGACATAGATATCGTGTCTGAGTTGCTGACAAAATTTGCAGGTGAAAGTATGATCAGAGATTCCCCGCAATTAGCATACCAGCATAGGGCATGCTAATGGTATGCTAATTGTATGCTAAACAGACAGAACGCGGAACCCTGAAACCGTATAAGGGCTGTAGGATGGATCAATAGAATACACATATAGATATGGTTTGCTGGGAGTTTCATGGATTCATGTGTTTGTGAGCTTTGATGCCTAACTTTTAATGATTCACAGATGACCTTTTTATTATGTTTTCAGAGTCGACATGTCAACGGGGTCGACTAAAACTACATGTATAGGCTGCTCAAGCCAGATCCACGTTGCGACCAAAAAATGCAAAATCTGCCAGGCATTGCAACCTAGGAAAGTGAGGTTGAAAAAAAAGTTGGACATATTTGAAAAAAAGAAAGAAAAATGGATACTTCAACAAAAAAAGAACTATTCAGCAACACACGTTGTGGATGAAGCATCCCTAATCGTAAGTTAATGTTGTTACACTAATTTTGATAAATGTTTAAGATAAAGGATCTTAAACATTTTATCAGAAAAAATAACTAAACACAAATGCAGTACATCTCACATTGGGAACTGTGTAAAACTGTCAATGTTGCATCAGAGAAACAGCAATGTGTTTATTTAAAAAATAATTCACTGAAATATGTATGATTAGAAATGTGTAATGTGCACCATTACAAATGTATTAGTGACAATAACAAATGTGTCGAAGCCTCTGAACTCAAGACTAGTTAAACACGGGCATCTAGTAGACAAGAATAATCATTGCTGCAGAATTAAATAATAACTTGCATTGTTTGTCTCAGGTGGAGAAACTCAACGCCCTAGGCTATAGGGCACTTCTACTTTTGGCAAAGCCACAAAAAAATGGGTGGAAGAATTCACTGATACACCCAATGTGGAGCCTGGGTGAACCAGCAACAAAATGCCTGGACCGAATAAAAGCCCTGTTTGGCGTTGTAATTGACAGTAAGTTACTTTTTTTATGCCAACTTTAAAACTAATACATAAATTGTATTGAAATAAACATAGAAGATATGCTTTGCACAAAAGTAGACTTCATCAGGGCTTTTTTGTTTCCTCTTTCAATTTTCATGTGACCCAAATTTTACATTAATAAAATAATTTATTTACAGATGTTTATTTATAGCGGAGTTTGATATAAAGAATGATAAAAAATGTTTTAACCTCAAATATTATTAACCGTGAGTGTAATCACAGTGAAAGACAGATGAAGGTCACATCCATTCTGCCTGTTCTTACTTACATTTTTCAGTTTTGCTTTTCTTCAGCCTTTTACTGCTACAGCATTGTAGTTTTGAGAATCTTGGTCTGCAAAACTTCCGTTTTGATAAATTTGGTATCCCTTTTCAACTCTAGACATTTAAGTAGCGGCAGTGATGGAGTACATATGCGAAAAAAAACATAGTATTTTTTTTGTGTTTGTCTAGATTGGACCAGCAGTCCACCCCCCTCTAGAGATACAGTCTATGTGTCCTCTCCGCCCTCCAGTGCGACAGTGTCCTCTCTGCCCTCCAGTGTCCTCTCCGCCCTCCAGTGCGACAGTGTCCTCTCTGCCCTCCAGTGCGACAGTGTCCTCTCTGCCCTCCAGTGCGACAGTGTCCTCTCTGCCCTCCAGTGCGACAGTGTCCTCTCTGCCCTCCAGTGCGACAGTGTCCTCTCCGCCCTCCAGTGCGACAGTGTCCTCTCCGCCCTCCAGTGCGACAGTGTCCTCTCTGCCCTCCAGTGCGACAGTGTCCTCTCTGCCCTCCAGTGCGACAGTGTCCTCTCTGCCCTCCAGTGCGACAGTGTCCTCTCTGCCCTCCAGTGCGACAGTGTCCTCTCCGCCCTCCAGAGCTCGAGCGTCCTCTGTGCCCTCCAGAGCTCGAGCGTCCTCTCCGCCCTCCAGAGCTCGAGCGTCTCGCCCCAGAGCTCGAGCGTCCTCTCCGCCCTCCAGAGCTCGAGCGTCCTCTCCGCCCTCCAGAGCTCGAGCGTCCTCTCCGCCCTCCAGAGCTCGAGCGTCCTCTCCGCCCTCCAGAGCTCGAGCGTCCTCTCCGCCCTCCAGAGCTCGAGCGTCCTCTCCGCCCTCCAGAGCTCGAGCGTCCTCTCCGCCCTCCAGAGCTCGAGCGTCCTCTCCGCCCTCCAGAGCTCGAGCGTCCTCTCCGCCCTCCAGAGCTCGAGCGTCCTCTCCGCCCTCCAGAGCTCGAGCGTCCTCTCCGCCCTCCAGAGCTCGAGCGTCCTCTCCGCCCTCCAGAGCTCGAGCGTCCTCTCCGCCCTCCAGAGCTCGAGCGTCCTCTCCGCCCTCCAGAGCTCGAGCGTCCTCTCCGCCCTCCAGAGCTCGAGCGTCCTCTCCGCCCTCCAGAGCTCGAGCGTCCTCTCCGCCCTCCAGAGCTCGAGCGTCCTCTCCGCCCTCCAGAGCTCGTGCGTCATCTCCACCCGAGTCCATGCCCCCCCCACCAGCCAGCAAAGACACCACAGGTAGTTTTTATGTCCCACTTTTAGTATGTATATTGCATTCATACAATGACTTGAAATGTTTATTAAAATTCTAACTGAACCGTTATCCATTCCAGTTTTGAAAAGATCAAAGAGAGTCCCAAAAGCGACTGCTAAAAGTAAGTGTCATCACATTAATTGACAAATAATGATGTTTTATAAAATTGTATGCATCAATTGACATAAACAACCATTTCTCCTCAAGTGGATTGATATAGTAGTAATTGATAGTGTGCATATTATTTTTATCACCCATACTAGTCTACTAGTATATATATTTTTTTGATCCAATATAGAGGTGCAACGGTTCATCACTGATCCGTGATCCGTTCGGATCAACGTCTTCGGTTCGGTACAGACGTGATCCGCGGTTTGATTTATGAAAAAAAAGTTGTGCGCATGTTGTTCAGTCCACACACAGCATAATCATGGCGAGCAGAGGAACGGAGGAGCTTGAAAGCCCCGCGTCATTTAAATCCCTGGTATGAGAGCATTTTGGCTTCACTGTAACTCTACTGATAATAAAATAGTCGACAAAACTGTCACGGTGTGTAAATACTGTGGCACAACAAAGACATGAGTGAAAAAAAGACCGCTTATTTGAGCGGCATTTAAGCAGCTCTTAATGCTCAGTCAGACCGGGCTAAAGTTAACTCTCCCGCACATCGACAGTTGCGTTCACGACTGACGCTTGGACGTCCCGCGGAACCTATAATAGATCCATGAGCGGAACGAAGAACTATGTTACGATAACAGGCCTAGTACTAATATCCCAGTCACAACTGATAATGCCAAAAATTAAATGAATGCAGTAAATGAGGCTGGACTGGGCCCAGAATGGAGCGCCTCCTTGGGAGAATCAGGAAGGTGATAATATATGAGGGTAAATGACCTCAAAGTGCCTTTTTAAGTTGCACTTTGTGTTGTTTTTTATTAATTATGTTAAAAAGACATAATTGGATGGATGGAATATGCTCTCGATCCATCCATCCATCCATTTTCTTCCCCTTAATCCATTTCTAGGTCAGGGGGGTGGCAGTCAGAGCTGCACCCAGTACATAGAGCACCAGCCCCTCACTGATCCTCCTGCAGGTGACGAGTCCACGTGAGCTGTGTTTATTAAAAAGACAAAACTTTTTTTTTTTTTTTTTTAATGAACCGAACCGAGGTACGATCCGAACCGTGATTCTTTTCAAACCGTTGCACCCCTAATCCAATACAATTAATCCAATCCTCTCCAACAAGAAAGTATTTGGATTGTCTAATATAGACTACTCGATCTATTTGGTTATTTATTTTTACAGTGTATAGAACAGCAACCATTTAGCCGTGATCGACCTTGAAGTTATGTGGGAATCTTAGTTTGTGTGTAATATTAGGAAGATGACGGCCCCTACACACCGTAAGCACGGTGAGACGCCTCTCCTCAGCAAAGTAGACCTCCATAAACACTCCAGGAGGCGCACAGAGGTGCGGCGGCCAGACGCACCACAGTAATAATAATAACCTATGCATATTATTTGGACCATGAGAAGAAACTTACATCTGACACAGACCATGTGGACACACACATGCATCTGACACAGACCATGTGGACACACGCATGCATCTGACACAGACCATGTGGACACACACACATGCATCTGACACAGACCATTGGACACACACACATGCATCTGACACAAACCATGTGGACACACACACATGCATCTGACACAGACCATGTGGACACACACACATGCATCTGACACAAACCATGTGGACACACACACATGCATCTGACACAGACCATGTGGACACACACACATGCATCTGACACAAACCAGTGGACACACACACATGCATCTGACACAGACCATGTGGACACACACACATGCATCTGACACAAACCATGTGGACACACACACATGCATCTGACACAGACCATGTGGACACACACACATGCATCTGACACAGACCATGTGGACACACACACATGCATCTGACACAGACCATGTGGACACACACACATGCATCTGACACAGACCATGTGGACACACACACATGCATCTGACACAGACCATGTGGACACACACATGCATCTGACACAGACCATGTGGACACACACATGCATCTGACACAGAGACCATGTGAACACACACATGCATCTGACACAGAGACCATGTGGACACACACATGCATCTGACACAGAGACCATGTGGACACACACATGCATCTGTCAGAGATCATGGGGACAAAGACGTATACACATCTATATATTGTATCCAATGTATTAATATGACTAATTGATTTGTGATTATACTGCATTATGCCATCCCTAATAAGAACCCTCCAATTTGTGTTTGTTTTTTTCACCCTGTAGATGCAGCCAAAAATATTTGTGAAGAGTGTAACAAGCAGCAGACAGCAGGAAGTTACCCTATGTCTAAGATAATAAAGAAGCGGGGGAAAAAAGTAGGTTGCATTAACTTTTCTTTAATTTTACATAACAAGCAGTATTTTTTATAAAGAATTATCTTTATCTTATCTTTATCTTTATCTTGTGTCCACATGAATGTTTGTTTATACTGATTTTGCTGGTGATCGCAAGTGCAATGTAGAGTCTTATACTGATAAATATATATTTTTTTTTTTTTTAGGTTCTTGTGGAATGGCTTCCATGTGGGACTTGGTAATTGATTTACTGTGGTTAAACAATAATATTTAGCTTTGAGACGTTTTTACCCTGAATGCTTCATATACCTTTTCTTTTTGTTTCAGTAAGCGTATATGGAAGCCGACTTGGGAGCCTCTTGAGAATTATGGACATTGATCATCTGCCCCCTTTAAGTTTTTTGAATCATTGCAATTCCTGTGTTTGAACGTTTTTTGTTTTTTTTCCTCTGTTCTCTGTTGGCGAATTGACAGATGAGTAAAGTCCTCGAGATAACTGTTGTGATTTGGGACTATAGAAACCTACATTGAATTAAAATTAATGTTGTATATATGATCATCTACAGCAGGGGCGTCATGCTGGTCCTCAAAGGGCTGGTTGTGGCTGCAGTTCTAACCTTAGCTACATCAGACTCCATTGAATTAAATACCTTGAAGCTGCACATGTTTCAGAATCCTTTATTATGTTATGTGATTGATGTTACATATATTGCGATAATCTAAAAATGTGCCGTAGTTTGGTTTGGTTGAGTTGTGTGAAGCATTAAAAAGTTACCTTTGTAAAACATGTATTCATACCTACTTCGCCGTCTTGATAATGTACACTGCATCATATACAGTATAAAACCATTTTTGATCATAACCTTGGAGGTTCTGTAGACTTGCTGTTACCCTGACACTCCACTAGGTGGGGTCCTGCACAACATTTACAAAAAGGTATTTACGTAATTTTTCTCAAATAATACTTTACTTCCTCCATAACCGCTTTGGCCATAATATCGACTTAAACCTGTTTAAAGAATGTGGAAATATTCTTATCAGTTTAAAAACGGACATCAATTAATCTTGAAAGGTTTTTATTTTAATTATACAAACACCTGATCCCAACGTCATTTTCGTCGCAACGGACGTGTCGTCATGGCAACGCGGTGAACGCTGTGATCACTGAGCGATATTCAACAATAACTATTTTCAGGGACACAAAAAGATCCCTAATCCTAAGAATAATCACTGTTGTCGGTGATATTATGACAAATGTTGGTCATGTTTCCAAGTTTGTGACTTCCTGTTACTTACGTGGCAATAAAAATGATTCTGATTCTGATGTTTTAATTCCCACCCTCGCAGGAAATGGTGTAGTTACGTGACTCCCATAGAATATTATAAAACAAATCTGTAAGAGTACCACAGTTACAGTGCACTGTGGTATTCTTACAGCTTGGGGATGGACCAATGAGGAGCGACGCCGGCATCAGAACTGTAACAATAGCACATTTTCAGACGGAACGGATCTATGAAAATCGATGATTTACGTGATTTTCAATGTATACGATTGAAGGTAACCACGCACGAGCATTCTGTACAAGGGTAGTCAAATGGTCAAATTTGAAATCACAATTGTTTTTGAGGGGCGAAGATCTACGTGTTATTATGGCGAACTGTAACAATAACACATATTTTTAAGGGACCAAAAAAAAGATCGCTCAATTTCGTAAATGAAGCCATTAGGAACCATTTTATTTGAAAATAACGAAATACAAGTGTATATTTCTCGCTCAAAATTGTGAAATAAGTTGACTTTAGTCTCTAAATAATGCTATAAACCGCAGTTTTGGACTATAATTATGAGAAATGTCGGCCATTTTTATTTCCTCCCTCGCAGGAAACGGTGTGGTCACGTGACTCCCGTAGAATAACATTGCAATAAAATATGTAAGAGTGCCACAGTTTCAGAGCCCAAACTGTGGTATTCTCACAGTTTAAGAGGTGGACCAATGTGACTATTACACAGTTTTCTGAGAGAGTGGGTTGAAGGTCTCAACTAAGTCGGGTCACGTGGTCACGGAAGGTGAATATGGCGTCTTAGTGTGAGTCGTGAACTAACTCGCCAGCAAAATCTTAATTAAGCAATTAAACAAACAGTTCTGATCTTTGCGAAAAGCTGTGCGTAAAGTCTGATGTCTGGATGCCCCAAACCAGGAGCAGGAGAAAGAAACAACAAGGCTCAAAATTGGAAATGAGTGCCAAGGACGTGAGCAAGTCTACTACAGCTGCGGCTGATGAGGACACGCCGGGTTGGGCAAAGTGTCTGATCGCTACTTTTAACAAAAATCAGCTAGACTTGAACGCAAAATTGGAAGAAATCAACACGAGCGTTCATTCCATATCTAAAGAATTCAAAGAAATGAACGATCGGGTTACGGCCGCGGAGAAGCGCATAAGTGACCTGGAAGACAGTCGCAACGAGGAGAATTGCACAGTGCAAACGCTGCTTAAACAAGTGTCAACACTTGCTGTTAGAGTGGATATGCTGGAGGCGCGCAGCAGAATGAACAACATCAGAATAATTGGCCTTAAAGAAGGCATGGAGGTGGACAATCTGATGGGATTACTGGATCAGTTGTTCCGATACATTCTGGACGTAGAGGAGAGCGATACAACTCCCGAGGTGGAAAGGGCTCACAGAGCTCTACGTCCGCGACCGAACCCAGAGGACCCCCCGCGCATGGTTATAGTGCGCCTGCTGAGATGGAGAGACAAACTAAAACTGCTGATGGCTGCTAAGAAGAAGGGATCACTCTCCTGGGACGGTCAGCCCTTCTATATTCGCCAGGATCTGACATCGGAGGTTCGGAGACAACGGGCTGAGTACAACGAGATTATTGAGGAGCTGAAGAAGCAAGGTGTAAGAGTCGGCGTACTTTACCCTGCTCGCCTGGTCGCCACCATCGATAGGAAGAAATGCATTTTTGAAACTCCAGAAGAAGCTAGACGGGGACTCTCACGACTGCTGCAGAAGACGCGCGCGTCTGTGCCAGACTCAGCCACCTGACGCGCATAGGCGGTGGCATCCTACCAGCTATGAGCTAAGTGACTGGAAATCGATGCATCTACATTTGTTGACGTTAGAAGTTTTGTTTTCAAATAATATACTTACATTAAACTATATCAAGACAGCATTTACTTTGTCGGTTGTGAGGAGAAGGCCTATTGTTAAGCTTATTTTATTTAAATAATTGTAGAAACCCTACAAAGACAAAAGCCATATGCGGGCAAGTTATTTTTTGTTTGGGTTCACACAGCGCCTACATCAATTGCCACGGACGGAGGATGGAAATATTCATCTTCTTTGTAATTACATGGAGTCTGCGCAGTTGCAGACGATTTAAATGTTGTTTGTCTCCCTTTTGTTCCCCCCCTAATGTCACAGCACAATTATGTTTTATTCCCACAAATCATGACAAACGGAACTAAAGTAATATCGTGGAATGTAAATGGGGCCCAAAATTTTGCAAAACGCTCTAAAATTCTGGCTCACCTAAAGTCAATCGAGTGTGATATAGCGATGTTACAAGAAACACACTTAACTAAAGAAGAATCGATGAAACTTAAACAACGCTGGGTGGGCCAATTGTTTTGTTCTCCGGGTACTAGCGGCTCTAAAGGTGTTTGCATACTGATCTAAAAAAAAGTACAATTTAAGGTGTTTGATGTACATGGAGACAAAGAGGGGAGATGGCTGATAGTGTCAGGGGAAATGTCTAACCAAAAAACAGCGTTGGTGAATCTGTATGCTCCCAACACTGCACAAGCAAACTTCTTAACTCTAATCAACTTGCAATTAACAAAATATACAAATTCTTCACTCATCATTGGTGGAGATTTCAATGCGGTGTGCAATGCCTCTATGGATCGCTCAAGTCATCCACTACCTGCAGATAAAGCATCCTCAAGAGCATTTACTGAATTGTTAGACACTCATGGGTTAGTGGATGCCTGGCGCTTAAAAAACCCTAATGAGAGGCAGTATTCATTCTATTCTAAAGTGCATAATTCATATTCCAGAATAGATTATATCCTGGTCCAAAATTCATTGGTGGAAAACATTATTATGTATTGTTTATTGCCACTAATGTGGCAGTATTATGTATAGCCACTAATGTGGCAATACATAATATTCTAATTTCTGATCACGCTCCTATCACATTAACATACTGTCCAACCACACCTGTTACAAAATCCAAGCATTGGAGATTCAACAATGCCTTGCTAAAAGATAAGGAATTTCTCAAATTAATATCTCAGAACATACCATTTTTCTTTAAATGCAATTTGACTCCAGAAATTCCAACTCAAACTATTTGGGAGGCTTTTAAAGTAACATGTCGAGGTTGGATTATTTCCTATGCCTCTCACAAAAATAAGGAGCGAAACAAAATGAAAGAAGGAACTTTGAAAAAACTGAAAGAACTCGAAACAAAACACATGACTGACCCGTCCAACGATGAGGTGAAACAAGAACTACTCAAAGTAAGAATGGAGGCACAAAAAAGGATACATGAGGAATTTTCCTTTATGCAATACAAACTAAAAAAGGATTATTATGAAAGTGGTGAAAAGGCAGGAAAAATGGCTTACCAACTAAAAAAGAATGAACAAAAAAACACAATAAATGCTATAAAGGATACAGAAGGAAACCTTGTGACAGATCATAAAGCAATTAACAATACTTTTAAGGAGTATTATTCAAATCTTTATCAATCAGAATGTAACGTAGAAAGGGAGCTCTTGGATAAGTTTTTCTGTAATCTCCTATTGCCCTCCTTGGAACAAGATGAAAGCCAAAATATTGAAGCTCCTATCTCAATTACTGAAGTTACTAAAACTATTAACTGTTTGTCTAACTCCAAGGCTCCAGGAGAAGATGGCTACACAGCAGAATTTTACAAATGCTTTTCCAAGGAATTGGCTCCCTTTCTAACAGTGCTATACAATAATATAATACAAAAACAATGTATGCCACCAACAATGAGAACTGCCATTATATCATTAATTCCTAAACCAGGCAAAGACCAGTTGCAGGTAAACAATTATAGGCCCATAAGTTTGCTCAACAAGATTTTGGCTAATCGTTTGGAGAAAATAATTCCCAGTTTAGTGAACCTAGACCAAGTTGGTTTCATACCAGGACGTCTGATGTCCAATAACATGAGGCGACTTTTCCAATTAATGGATAGGGCAGGTTCTTTTCAGCACCCAGTGATCGCTGTGTCACTGGATGCTGAAAAAGCTTTCGACCGGATAGAATGGTCATATTTATTTCATGCTCTGTCTCAATATGGTTTTGGCCCAAATTGTCTGCAATGGATAAAAGCTATATACCAACACCCAATGTCATCTGTAAAATCAAACAATGTCATCTCTACACCCTTTCAGCTCTTTCGCTCCACGAGACAAGGATGCCCGTTATCCCCAATTTTATTCACTCTTGCACTAGAACCGTTAGCATGTATGATCCGAATGGATAAAGAAATAGAAGGAATAAAAGTGGGAAACCATGAATTCAAATTAAGCATGTACGCAGATGATATCCTATTGACTTTGACAAAACCATCACAATCCATCCCTAAAATTCTTCAGAATATAAACACATTTGGTAAATTATCAGGGTACAAGGTTAACTGGAGCAAGAGTGAAGCTATACCTTGTTGTATATTTTAATATTTGACCATTTGAACATCATAGCCAAAAAGATCTCTGTGCACTCAGGAAAAACCCCAAGGACACAGGATGATCAGACATGAGTCATAAAGATAAAATGCTGTTTAAACGGGACAAATTATTAACTCCAGAAATAAACATTCTTGTCTCTCTGGCGAGATCAAAGTCCAAAACACCATCTGGCTAATCTCTCTTGAGGCAGACTGGGAGATTCACCAACGGCATTCTGACGCCTCCCAGTGGACACGGGACGCCAGCACACCCGAAATGAACATTCGGGAGACGCCCACAAGTGACGTCATCAGACGTCTTGATAAAACTGTTGGTTTGAGTTCTGGGGGGAGGTTAGCCCAGGGCCAGAGAGGGACATGGATTAGTTTTAGGAGCTCTCTTTGTTGGAATCTCTGTATCTGATTGTAAGTAAATTAAATACGGATGTTAAACTTGGAGAATCTCTTGTCTTACTCTTGCATCGACTTTGAACACGTCAGTCAAAGGGAATTATTGACTTCAACCTCTAAATTACTTTACATATAAAAAAGACTTGGGTACAGCTCCTTTTGTCTGGAAAAATGAGGGCATGAAATACTTGGGGGTTACAATTGGGTTGCCGATAGACAAAATTATGGAAAAAAACTTACATCCACTAACAAATACTATAAAAGAAGACCTTAAGAGATGGTCATCACTGCCATTGTCTCTGTGGGGCAGAGTTGAAATAATTAAGATGAATATTCTCCCAAGAATTCTCTCTCTCATCTCCTCAGTGCCTCTTAATATACCAATGTGTTGGTTTGATGATGTGAAGAAAATGTTTAGCTCTTTCCTATGGAGAGACAAAAAACCCAGGATCAATATAAAAAAAACTGTCTCTACAGAGAGACCAAGGTGGTCTAAGTATTCCAGACATCTTTCTGTATTATATTGCATTTAATGTCAGATATGGTTTAGCCTGGGGTTATAGAAAGATACGAGAGAAAGGGAGTTGGGATTGGCTGGAAGAACAAGTATTTAAAGAAAATAATGCATCTATTTCACTATCATCACTATGGTATCACCCATATCTACCTGTTAAACTGAAGAACCCTCTTATGTGGCTGACCTGTACAACCATTAAGAAAATGCGCCAAAAATTGCGTCATACAAAATTGGTACTTGCATCCTGTCCAATATGGAACAATATGGCAATTACAGCTGCAGGGAATCCTTTAACAAATAAAGCATGGAAACAAAATAATATTCTGCAAATTTCTGATATTATCAATCAAGGTTCACTGCGGTCTTTTGAGGAGCTGAGAACTAAATATGGCTTATGTACAAATGCCTTTTTGCAATACGCCCAAATAGCTTCAGTTTCTCCAGACTACCGAAGGAATACTTTAAATATGATAGTGAAATGGATAACAAATACAGAAAGTTGGTGATTAATAAAGGGACAGTTTCGGGTCTGTATAAACTACTTATTAACTCAGACCAGACTGTAAATAAACAAACAGAATCAAAATGGGGGACAAGATCTAGGACAAACAATAACCATTTCAGAATGGAAACCAATATGGAGGAATATAACCAGAATATCCATCCATCCATCCATTTTCTACCCTTTAATCCATTTCTGGGTCAGGGGGGTGGCAGTCAGAGATGCCACCCAAGTCTCATAGCACCAGCCCCTCACTGACCCTCTGCAGGTGGTGAGTCCACAGGAGGACAGCTGCTCTCTGAGTGTGAGCATAGCCTTGATCTTTCAGCGGGGGCTTTGGGCAAAGTGGGGTTAAGTGTCTTGCCCAAGGACACAACGACAGCAGTCATCAGTGGGAGTCGGTGGAGAAGGTGTAGAGGTGGGAATTGAATATCAAAATCAATAAAAATTAGGATGATACAATTCAAATTATTACATAGAGCTTATATAACTCCAGCCAAACTCAACTTAATAGACCCACAGACCTCAGACTTATGCTGGGGAGGCTGTGGTCAAAGGGGAACATTAATACATATGCTTTGGTACTGCCCTGATATTACAAATTTCTGGACACAGATAGTAAATGCAGTCTCAAAACTATTAAGTATTAACCTGTGCCCTTCCCCAGCTACTTGCTTACTCGGATTCAGAGATACTCAACTGGAAAACAAACAGAACTATAAGATAGCTAATATAGCTTTCATTGCGGCTAAAAGAATGATAATAATGAATTGGAAACATCGTAAATTAAACTGTTTTGCAGTAGAAAAGTGGATACACGAATTTACAGATTTACTAGCCATGGAAGAAATTATTAACAACAATGATGATATGGATCTGGATCTTGAGCAACTCATAGCTGGGGTCGGGTC